GAGAGAGAGAGAGAGAGAGACAGAGAGAGAGAGAGAGAGACGGCCGACATCCCAACTGATGTCCGCGCCGCACTCCTCATTGGGCACCGAGCCCATTCTTTGCGCAAGCGGCCCACTTTCGTGCATCCCAACTGATGCTCGGGGGTTGAGTCGGGCTCGGGGTGTCACGTCCCCGCGCTGCTGATGTGCTCGGCCCACACGGGCTTACTGTTCATTTTCCCCCCTCCCGCCCAACTGCGGGCGGTGCCCGCACCACACTCACTGTGCTCGTTCCTCATTCATCCGCCCTCCCGCCAAACTGCATCTGGGCCACGCACTCGTTCGGTCCCCAACTCCCGAGGCACGTCGCCAGCACGGAGGGAAGGGGGTTCCCTTGCCGCGAAGCTGGGGGGCTTCCCTGCCAGGAGGGCTGGACAGAGATCTCCCCCTGATGCTGGGGCAAAGCATCTAGGCATGAATCCCATTTTTTCGAGGAGGTCTCAGGCGAAACGCCCATTTTCGAGGATCCGAAAATTAGGCGAGCGATTTCGAGATCCCGATGTTTGGAGGATGTCCCGAGCGAAACGCCCATGTTTAGCAACAGACGTCTTAAGATACGACCCCCAACTTCACGATTTGGGGAGGATGCCTGGAGCGAAACGCTCGTTTCTGAAACCGTTCCTGACATGAACGGGAAGCGCGTGAAAGGGACGACTTACGCAAGAACTTGCAGCATCATCGCGCCCCCCGAACGTTCACAAGAATATTCCAGAGTATCCTCACCACTCCTCCGCATGAGGAAGACGACGGCGAAGACGACGACCAGGGAAGAAGGGAGAGGAGGAGGAGGAGGAGGAGGAGGAGGAGGAGGAGGAGGAGGAGGAGGAGGAGGGGAGGAGGGGAGAGGAGGAGGGGAGGAGGAGGAGGAGGGGAGGAGGAGAAGGAGGAGGAGGAGGAGGAGGAGAGGAGGGGAGGAGGAGGAGAAGGAGCAGCACAGCAGCAGAGCCAGAAGAAGGGGTGAAGAGGAGGAGGGGGAGGAAGGCGAGGAAGAGGAGGAGGGGAGGAGGAGGAGGAGGGTTGGAGGAGAAAGAGGAGGAGGAAGAGGAGAAAACCGAGGGAGGAGGAGGAGGAGGAGGAGGAGGAGGAAAAGGAGGAGGAACAGGAGGAGGAGGAAAAGGAGGAGGAGGAGTTGGAGGAGAAAGAGGAGGAGGAAGAGGAGAAAACTGAGGAGGAGGAGGAGGAGGAGGAGGAGGAGGAGGAGGACGTCGAGGAGGAGGAGGAAGGAGAAGTAGGAAGAAGGCGAGGAGGAGGAGGAGGAGGAAGATGAGGAAGAGGACGAGGAGGAGGAGGAGGAGGAAGAAGAACAGAAGGAGGAGGAGGAGGAGGAGGAGGAGGAGGAGGAGGAGAAGGAGAAGGAGGAAAAGGAGGAGGAGGAGGATGAGGAGGAACAGAGGATTTGTTGGGAGGATGTCTCGAGCGAAACGCTGATGTTTCAACGAAAGTGTGTAACACACATGGGTTTTTCAATATTTTCGCTTCTTGGGCCATCTTGGGGGTCATCCGAAATCGATCCGAAAAGATGCCTTACAAGAGCTCTGTCGACATCTCATTTTTTCGAGGATGTCTCGGGCGAGACGCCCATTTTCGAGGATCCGAAAATTAGGCGAGCGATTTCGAGATCCCGACGTTTGGAGGATGTCTCGAGCGAAACGCCCATGTTTAGCAACAGGCGTCTTAAGCTACGACCCCCAACTTCACGATTTGGGGAGGATGTCTCGAGCGAAACGCTCGTTTTCAAAACCTTTCCTGACATGAACAGGAAGCGCGTGAAAGGGAAGACTTACGCAAGAACTTGCAGCATCATCGCGATCAAATGTAGTATAGGCGAGCTCTCCGAACGCTCACAAGGGATAAGTATGGACACGCGCCCCCCCGAACGTTCACAAGCATATTCCTGAGTATCCTCACCACTCCTCCGCATGAGGAAGACGACGGCGAAGACGACGACCAGGGAAGAAGGGAGAGGAGGAGACTGACTGACTGACTGACCACTGCGTGAGGGAAACAAGAGTCCCGAGCAGAGCACCGCGCACCGGAGGAGGAGGAGGAGGACGAGGAGGAGGAGGGGGAGGAGGAGGGGAGGAGGAGGAGGAGGGGAGGAGGAGGAGGAGGAGGAAGAGGAGGAGGAGGAGGAGGAGGAGGAGGAGGAGGAGAAGGAGCAGCATCAGGCAGCAGCAGAGAAGAAGAGGTGAGAGGAGGAGGGGGAGGACGACGAGGAAGAGGAGGAACAGGAGCAGGAGGAGGAGGAAAAGGAGGAGGAACAGGAGGAGGAGGAGGAGGAGTTGGAGGAGAAAGAGGAGGAAGAGGAAGAGGAGAAGACCGACGAGGAGGAGGAGGAGAAGGAGGAGGAGGAGGAGGAAGGAGAAGTAGGAAGAAGGCGAGGAGGAGGAGGAGGAGGAGGAGGAGGAGGAGGAGGAAGATGAGGAAGAGGACGAGGAGGAGGTGGAGGAGGAGGAGGAGGAAGAAGAAGAACAGAAGGAGGAGGAGGAGGAGGAGGAGGAGGAGGAGAAGGAGAATGAGGAAAAGGAGGAGGAGGAGGAAGAGGAGGAGGAAGAGGAGGAGGAACAGAGGAATTTTTGGGAGGATGTCTCGAGCGAAACGCTGATTTTTCAACGAAAGTGTGTAGCACACAGGGTTTTTCCAATATTTTCGCTTCTTGGGCCATCTTCGGGGTCATCCGAAATCGCTCCGAAAAGATGCCGTACATGAGCTCTGTCGGCATCCCATCTTTTCGAGGATGTCTCGGGCGAGACGCCCATTTTCGAGGATCCGAAAATTAGGCGAGCGATTTCGAGATCCCGTTTTTTGGAGGATGTCCCGAGCGACACGCCCATGTTTAGCAACATACGTCTTAAGATACGACCCCCAACTTCACGATGTTGGGAGGATTTCTCGAGCGAAACGCTCGTTTTCAAAACCTTTCCTGACATGAACGGGAAGCGCGTGGAAGGGAAGACTTACGCAAGCACTTGCAGCATCATCGCGATCAAATGTAGTATAGGCGAGCTCTCCGAACGCTCACAAGGGATACGTATGGACACGCACCCCCCGAACGTTCACAAGCATATTCCTGAGTATCCTCACCACTCCTCCGCATGAGGAAGACGACGGCGAAGACGACGACCAGGGAAGAAGGGAGAGGAGGAGGAGGAGGAGGAGGAGGAGGAGGAGGAAGAGGAGGAGGAGGAGGAGGAGGAGGAGGAGGAGGAGGAGGAGGAGGAGGAAGGAGGAGGAGAGGGGGAGGAGAGGGGAGGAGGAGGAGGAGGCGGGAGAGGAGGAGGAGGAGGAGAGTAGGAGGAGGGGAGGAGGAGGAGGACAAGGGGCAGCATCAGCAGCAGCAGCAGAAGGACGAGGTGAGGAGGAGGAGGGGGAGGAGGACGAGGAAGAGGAGGAACAGGAGCAGGAGGAGGAGGAAAAGGAGGAGGAACAGGAGGAGGAGGAGGAGGAGGAGTTGGAGGAGAAAGAGGAGGAAGAGGAAGAGGAGAAGACCGACGAGGAGGAGGCGGAGGAGGAGGAGGAGGAGGAGGAAGGAGAAGTAGGAAGAAGGCGAGGAAGAGGAGGAAGAAGATGAGGAAGAGGACGACGAGGAGGAGGAGGAGGAGGAGGAGGAGGAGGAGAAGGAAGAAGAACATAAGGAGGAGGAGGAGGAGGAGGAGAATGAGGAAAAGGAGGAGGAGGAAGAGGAGGAGGAAGAGGAGGAAGAGGAATTGGTGTGAGGATTGTCTCAGCGAAAATATCGAAACACATGGGTTTTTCAATATTTTCGCTTCCTGGGCCAGCTTGGGGGTCATCCGAAATCGCTCCGAAAAGATGCCTTACAAGAGCTCTGTCGGCATCCCATGTTTTCGAGGATGTCTCGGGCGAGACGCCCATTTTCGAGGATCCGAAAATTAGGCGAGCAATTTCGAGATCCCGTTTGTTGGAGGATGTCCCGAGCGAACCGCCCATGTTTAGCAAACGACGCCTTAAGATACCCCCCCCAAACTTCACGATGTTGGGAGGATGTCTCGAGCGAAACGCTCGTTTTTGAAACCTTTCCTGACATGAACGGGAAGCGCGTGAAAGGGAAGACTTACGCAAGAACTTGCAGCATCATCACGATCAAATGTAGTATAGGCGAGCTCTCCGAACGCTCACAAGGGATACGTATGGACACGCGCCCCCCGAACGTTCACAAGCATATTCCTGAGTATCCTCACCACTCCTCCGCATGAGGAAGACGACGGCGAAGACGACGACCGGGGAAGAAGGGATAGGAGGAGGAGGCGGAGGAGGGGAGGAGGAGGAGGAGGAGGAGGAGGAGGAGGAGGAGGAGGAGGAGGAGGAGGAGGAGGAGGAGGAGGAGGAGGAGGAGGAGGAGCAGCATCAGCAGCAG